TTGAAACGCTATACATTACTCAATTGGAATAGCAAATAAATAAGTCAAGTTTTTCATTTATTTCAAATTTTTTGTTTTTACATGTAATAAGGGGGACGGTAAGTTTCTAAAAAACCAAAAGGGATATAACAACTAAGATGATTTGGTTTCAACAATTGAGTTGCTTAATTGAGTTTGCAGAATTTGTCAATCGCTTTGACGAAGGGCTAACGCGCGAAATATCAGATTTAGAACTCTTTACAGTGGCCAAGAACCAAATGCCGTAATTGAAATAGGTTGTTTGATTCGCGTTCGTTCGAACGAAGAAGTAAATATCGTCATCATGTTTGTCTTAAAGTTTATCGGGTTAACAACTGATTTTACTGGAACTTATACAAGGCTTCTCTCCATTCATTTTCAGCGATCCATAATGAATCTAACAAACATTTTGGAACTAACAAGAGCATTTGTGAACAAGGCTACTAACTTTACAAACAAAGAATTGTTTTTTGATTATCTGATTCTTTGGTTTAAAAGTGGAGCTCTCCTACTAAATCCAGTCAACCCTTCCAACGATATGGTGGCGGTCAATTTCTTACAGGTACGAAGTTCAGCCTTTATTACCATATGACAGACTTTACATTCTTTGTCAGTTTGAAATTACATACGCGCTTTACTACTCTTTTAACGAAGAACAGGAATTTTTTAAAAAATTATGGGTAGTTTTTTTTTTAATAAATCAAATAAAGGTCTTCCTCAGAGGCTTGATTTATCTACTCAAGTTTTCAAAGAATTAAAGAAACCTCTCATGGAACAGACGCGTTTAATCACCTTGGGGCGGGGGGTCGGAAGAGTTTGGGAATTTAATTCTTTTCAGGGGGAACGGGGGAGGGGAAAAATTAGTCGTCGCCAACAGAGTATGCAAGGGGGGACCATAAAAGACTGACTGCCAGTGAGAGAGGGGGTGGGGTCATTAGCAATACTACAGAGCCTGGGAATTATCTCGTGACACAAAATCCTGACCCCCCGGCGATAACTAATGACCGCTTCCTTGCTGGATTTCGAAATGCAGATCCAGAGGGAAGCCTTTGTTAATAATTGTCTGAGGGTTCATTTCTTATTGTTCTCTTATGAGATTGCGAATTATGAGCTTTTCATATATTTTCTTTTTCTCAAGGCCATATTGCAAACAGCTCAGACCGAAAACGTTTTCAAGCCTCAGTCAGACTCCTTTTGTCCTAAAGAAGTGGTAAGCATGCGTGAAACTTACTCTAAGATAAGAAAACACAAAACTAAAACAAGAAAGTAAATAAACACGCAACATAGTAAATAGCATTTGATAAGACTTCTGATTTGAAAGTAATATTCCATGTAAAGGTCTTGTTCATAATTCTTGTAACAAAATTAACCAACTTTATTATATCTCTGAGACTTAGGCTAAGTTAGTACGTGCCCTATGATTGAGTAATTTAATTAGAGGGCCGTGTTTCACTGTAGAGCCCTCTTAATTGAGAAGTTTGTTTAAACTGAAATCTTTCACCCTTACTTAACCCCAGAGATATTATAGATGTCTTGGCTAACCTCGTTTTCTCGATCTGTTCTTTTCTCGAAGTTACGGAACCTCGTTCTTCCGCTCGGATTTATAAATAGGAGTGGAAAAAGACTCGGTCTGTAATCTTATACTATCGACCTCGAACTCGGTTAGGATGAGGTAACACACACCATTAAAGGTGCTACGCCACATCAAGGTCTTTTTTTTAGGGGGTTTTAATTTTTTACCGACGCAGACGAGCATCAAAGCTAGATGGCTTTAACTAATTAAAAAACGATTAAGGATAAGAATTGTTAAGAAAAACTGAAGAAAAAACTAAATTAATCGTAAAAGAAGAAAATCCACAAATGATGACAAATGTGATATTGATGATGATGATGATGATCAAATCAATCTGTGTGGCATACAGTGATTGGAGCACTCTCACCACTACGCCATCCCTCTTTCTTCAAACTGGATTCGAAAAATTTCATACTATGTAAATAATTGTACCGAAACTTTGTTATGAACTTGAGTTTCTATTTATGTCGAACTTTTTATAGTCACTAAATTGTTACCGTCTTTGTTGTTTTCTCAGACGAACTGGCAGCGCTGGTCATTAACACGAACTATCAGGGAATTTACTTGCGGGGCCTCAAATCTGACGCATACTTTCCGGTTTTGTTTTACTTGGATATTGTTGAAACAGTAAGTCAAGTAAAGACAGTTTACTTTACACTAAAGTGAAAATACGTGGCGCAATAATACTAGCAAGCGAACGGCAATTGCTAGAGAGATGCACAAAAATAAGCCAGAAAATTCTAAGACTTCCTATCCTTATCTACAAGGATCATTTAATGCTTGTTATTAACTGCATGTCAACTGTTGATTCGAGAGTTTAATACAAATGGAGATTAAGTTGAAATAGTGAGTGAAATTCGTAGACTTAAAGAATGAACATTGATCGAATTGAAGTTTCTTTTTGGTTGAATTCCGTTTAGGAGCTCATCCCAATTCCCATTTTTTCCCCTCACGTAGTGAGCGCTGTAACGCAGTGCATTTAGTTCAACACAGCTGTCAAACATCGGACATGCGTGAGTAGATCAATTTTGGCCGGCTGCGCGCGAATCTCCCGTGCAAAATTTGAAGAAAAACATTGGAAACAAATGATACCTTGAAAAAGAAGCGAAAGAAAATTGAAACTTCTAGAGAAATCTGTAGAAGGATACAAAATTAGGGAAAATAAAAACTGGAGAACACAAACTTATTCAAGTACGGATATCCTGTTTATTTCTATTGTGTTGTGACAGAGCAATTAGCAATCACGCGTCATCCGG